GTTGCTGAACTCCATTTAAAATGTTTTTTTTTTTTTTCAGACCATTTAAACCTTGGCTGTGTTTCCAAATATATACATTATGTCACAATTGTAACTGTGGTACAGCTATTTATGTAAAATATATGCTGCTCCACCCCCCAGCAAAGACTGACTGACTATGACACTGTATTAGTTAAAGAGTCAAGAGTCAAAAGGAAGTTACCAAAGTTGCATAACATTTTCTTTCTTAACCATACAAAACAAACAACAGTTGTTTCACTGTGCCTTTGGTTTCCAGCATCGCTCCCCTCCATGTGATCATCTTTTGTAATTACTGGAAGCTCCAAAAATAGTCCTCTAGTCTGCACTCAATCTTTTCCTAGTTAATTTTCTCACACGCATTCTGTCTTCTGACTCAATGGTTCGTAGCTGAACAGACAGAGCTCCAGCTGGCTTTAAGTGCATTGTAAAACACCACTGCACAGGAAACAACTGTCTTAAACCAAAATACACCCAAACATTGCCACAGAGTCCGGTCTGTCTTGGCTCATGCGCTTTCTGCTTATGCGAGCGTCTCTGCCTGTATTTAGATTGGATTTGATTTAAAGTCTGCTCACAGGAAGCCGGAGAGATGATGAAATTGCTGTAGCCTACTTTACATTTTCCTAAACTCACATCCATCAATCATTGTCAATGCATTATTTGAATACACTCTGGTTCATGCATTTGATCCGTCTCCTTCAATCCCACTACAAAGAATAAATAGATTTAAAGAGGAGTCTAATCTTATGGTGATACTTTGTGATGTATTTTCTAAGACAGTATAGAGGTCAGCTAATCCACCCTCTGTAGAGTTTTAGACCTGTGCTTTAAGACTTAAGGGGAACCTTTTGTTCAATTGTGCGCAGGGCTTCATTCAATGGGCCATGTTCTTGAGTGTGTATATTTGAGCTCGGGATGAGAAACAGTGCAAGAGAAAGGGAGAGAGGAGATGGAGTTTTACATTGAGATAAATAGCTCTTACAAAGCTTTTCATGTGTTGTGGTTCTTAAACTGTATTCTGTGTTCACATATCCTTAGCTGAGTTTTCAGATCTTGTACTAAACTAGATCGGCAATACAGTAATTTTGCATCCTCCTAAAATATGTTACTCTAGTAGATGTAAAAGTACAAATCAGTAATTACAATTGCCTATGCCAAATTGCTGTTTCTACATCTACAATCATTCATACATCACTTTTTATACTGTCCAAGTAACAGGTAAATGACTTGAGTATACTTTTGTCTATTCTATAAACACAGGTGCTTCCAAGTACTTGTACAGCCTCTTTCTTCTCTCTGACTGTACCAGTTCTCCTGAATGATGCTGACATCCTGTTGCAACATCCTGGTGAAGCACATTCACCCATGCGTGCATGTGTGTGCACGTGTGTGTGTGTGCATGTGTGCGTTTGTTTCAGTCCATGTTTAGGCTCATTTACATGTTTGTGACTTTGTCCTCTGACCAGATGTTCGGGAATGGGTTTGTACTGTGATACTTCCTGTTTTGCAAGCCAACGGTATAAAGTAGAGAAGTGAAAGCATCAGGCCAAGTGAACTAACTTTAGTCACAAGAGCTAAAATATTACTGCTAAGAATGACAAAATGTCTATGTGTAATTCATTCATTCATTTACATTACAATAATGGGTTTGCTTAATTGTTTTACATTTTACAGATCTGCACTTTTTCTTTTTTTAGTTTACCAAACAATAACAATAGGGACACATTTTTGCAAGTATCCTGTTTGCAGGCTATCTACTGTACGCCACCTGCCAGGAATGTTCTAATGACTGTCTTTTCAGCAAATACCTACTTACTCCCTATACCAGCATGTATACGTATGCACATATTTGTGGAACGCACTGTATTACAGTGGTATGGAGTGCGGCACACTGACAGTTACATATTGTCTCACATACAGACTGGACAGGGACAAATGAAGTCCAGGGGGAAGGGGGTAGAGAATAGAAATAGGAGCCATATTTCAGTGCTTCATTCATATTCTGCTGAAGTGACAGTATTGTGAATGTGTACTGTGGTTGTACTGCAGGCGCTTGAGCACATATTTGCAGTGGCTGTACAAAACGGCTCTGTCAGAAAAGGATGTGATGTTATCGCTCAAACTCTTCTAAACCCATGTAAAAGGACAGAGCCATTAGTGTATCTGTGGGGATTTTGTTTCTGTCTAATGGAGAGGATACAACTCACTCCAGAGGATAAGGAGAGTGAACAGCGTTGTCTAGTACTACTTTTACCATCTAAGTATGCCAATCAAGCTCTGTCCAGGTTTCAACATAGGATAAAGTATAGTAGTACTATAAATAAAGTATGGTTTTGTCAGAAAGATTACAAGTAAAAAATTAGCCACACAAAACACTTCAAAAACCCTTTCCCCCATGCTCTCTAAAAGATATCTGTCCCTCCCATACATCATCACAGCAGTTTGAGAGCTCAGGATTCCAAAGCAGGCCCATCATTAGAGACAGTGGCTCTCCAAAGGTGTGTGAGAGCATGGAGCTGTCCAAAAACCCGTCCGCAGACACACCCTTGCAATCAGATCAGTGTAATTCATGTGGTCCTCTGGGGAGTAGCCTGACAGGGACATTTGCATGCCTAATTCCCTTTAGCACCTCCACCGCAGACCCCCACCCCAAACCTCTTCCCTCTGCCAGCTGGGACCACCACCACCGGGGCAGAGGCACGATACAAGCCCCACACACATGCTATAAATGTTCATAATCACGCAGACCGTATCTAATCAATTTGACGCTAATGTTAAACAAAGCTCACGTTTAGACTAATTAAATCAATTAGCGTACGCCTTGTTTTCTTTTTTTTGTTCCTGCTTTGTGTGAACAGATTGCTCAAGAGAATCTGTGAAAAATGCTAACCACACATTTTTTACAGTTTCTAATTTAAACATTCCACCAAGACACAAGCTTTTTTTTTTTTTTCCTGCAAATGTAGCATAGACTTTTGTCATTGCGAATATTCAGTGGTTAGCAGCAGAAGGCTAGTTCATAATGGCTTCATCGTCTTTCTCCTCAGCAACCAGTCCCCCAAGGCTCAAGGTTCAATTGTCCATGAGGCCTTTGTCTTTGGGAGAAATCAATCCTGCTTTGTAAATTAGCCCTCGCGTCAATGTTTCTGAGTGTATGCGTGTGTGTGTGTGTGTGTGGGTAGACCATACAGAGCAGAGTATGCAGTGGGTTTGCAGCTGTTGTTCAGACTGACCATTGCTGCTCATTTGGACTCCTTTGTCATTACAAAGGTTTGCCCAGCACACCAAGCAGCTGGGCCCCTGGTTTAGTGGTGGGATTGAGAATCTGTTGAAGCTCACAAGATACACTTTTTTAGACATAATTTTTTTTGGTGTTGGATATGTAAATAAAGTAATACATACTCATTATATCATTGTAATAAAATAGGAATAGCTATAATAGGTTAAAAAAAGAGATATGAATAGGCAATATAATGTAAGCATTAGTATAGACATTAGGGCTGCTCCATTATGGAAAAAAATCATTATCACGATTATTTAAACAATTCATTTTTAGTTACACGATGCATTTATTCAGCAATTCTTTCTAAAAAAAACCCAAAACACTTTGTTATTAATAATTTACTCAAAACTTTCAAATTGAAAATAAATTCAGGCTACAAATATGTACATTAGAGCAGTTACAGTATTTATATATATATATATATATATATATATAGTTTTCAAAATCTCAAAATAAGCGTTGTTACCCTTTAAATCGTTTCAACTCAATTGTATGAGTTTGGAGATCGCGATCAAAATTTGATTAATTGCACAGCCTTAATAGACATTATATTGCAGTTGTTCTATTAACTGACTGAGTAAAAATCACAAGTTTCAGCTCCTCTGATTTCATGTGCTATTGACCTTCTTCTCAGGTTTATAAAGTGGCCTCTATTAAAAGCTGTCAAAAACGATATACGAGTGGAGAAGTCATAGGTCAAGGTCGAGATTCATGAGCCATTGTGATCTGAATTTTTGTGTTTGTGTTTTGTTTATTGACTCACTCACTCTATGCCGAAGGTGTGATCAGGAATTTTTAACATAGTTTGGACCATTGTGTCACTAAATTGCAATGTCTTCAGTTTGTTGCACAACAAACAAGATACTGGATTAGGAGGAGAAGACTTCATTTTGACATAGCTTATTAAGTCTATACATGTCGAGTCCAGATTTCTCATTTTTATTCAGCATTTTAATTATTATTACTTACCGGTACTAAAACATTGACTTCATGCTAGATTGTTAATTACATTGATATATAATGTAGTCTGTATTGACTGCAGAATTATCACAATAAAACAGATGTTTTTCTCAGGGACTAGAAAAGTGGCATTTTGATCTAGTCCCTCTGATAGACTGTAGTAAAAAAAATAATAATAAAAAATGTTTTGCTGCTTTCCTGTGTGCGGGCCTCTGAGCAGATTACAGTGTATTATGAAGGAGTGAGACAAATGCCAGAGAATCCCTGGTGTTGATTATCCTGATGTGACGGCTCAAATCAAAGCATGATATTTTCAGATGAGTACATATGACTGAAGAAGGACAGTCTGCCTCTAGTTTTAAACCTCGGCTGGTTTGGAGGGAGCTGGACTTTCTCAAACTCACTGACTCACTAACTTCTTATTTAATTTTTTATAAGTTTATTAGATTTTTGTCCATTTCATCATTCTATTTTGTATCTGAGTTACAACTTTTAAGCCATCTTTGTAGGCATAATAATATTATATGATCCATCATCATATTTATAATTGACACAAATGTTTTTATCAGAATTGTGTTTTTCTTTACTTTTTACACTTCTGTTATAAAACATTTGAAGGAAATATCAAATATATAAAGAATATAATAAAATTGTATATTTCCATTGACCACAGTTTAAGCTTTGCCAATTTCTAAAATATGTTTTTTAAATTAATTTGTCCATGTTGTTTTTACAGATCCTGAGTCCCAAAGGAAAAGAACAGTCCAGAATGTCTTGGATCTGCGACAAAACCTGGAGGAAACCATGACCAGCCTGAGAGGGGTGCAGCTTAGCCACAGGTGAGCCACAACACCTTTTTACCTCATACAAATGGTAAGAAAAGGTTTTATTGTGAAAAGAACCAATGCATTGTACTATTGATACAACTATTGGCATGCAATGACTCTTATTGGCATTGCAAACACCAACCTTAATTGTGGTGGGAAACTGCCTCGGGCTCTCTGATCAATATCTCAATTCCTGTTAGACCAGTAACTGCTAGCTTGTCACTTTTTCCCTGTTGTGCTCTCAGCTAATACAGATCTGAACTGATCAGCTCCAAACTGTCTTTTTTCAGTGCTGTCAACATACAGCCCTGACTCACTTTTATGCAGACAATTATACAGATGCAATAATGTTGTGATGAAGTGTTTGTGAGTGCGTGCGTGTGCCTGTCTCTTCCTCCCTGCTTCCTGTCTTTCACTCAAGGCTTAGTGGCTTTTAGCTTTTACTTCCTTGTCTGTCCTTGAGAGTTTCCTGTGTGACTGTCTGAGTGTGCCTCGTATCCTCTGCCTGTGTCCTTCAGTGGGAGATCCCAATGTAAAGAGGCTGTCAGCAGATGGTTCCCTGCTGAAAAAGCCTTTCCTTTGCAGGACATACTTAGCTTACTGTCATAACCTTGAAATACTCTTCTCTCTCTCCTTGGAGGTACACTTACATGCACAAATGTTGCTTATGAAATGAAGATGTAATAATAGCACTTGGAAAAATATGTTCAAATGTTTTCAAAACATTTTGCCTTATTTCAGGACACTACTAATTAGCGGTTAACCATAAACACATATTTTCCGCATTTGAAAGCTGACGCAACCAAGGTGCACTATGCAACTTTTTTTGTTTAGCAACAACTTGCCTGGAATGTTCTCAGAGTGGTATTACACTTATATGTCTTGTATTTATTTTAATTACAGGTGTTGGTATTGCTCAGTATCTAAAAATATGCATTCTTATTGTGAGTTGGCATGCCTCTCAACAGAAACTGTAACTTGGCCTGGTCTCCATGAAGATGGAAAATGATGTAAGATAGATTTGCTATGACTAGAGATAGACCAATATTTGGACTTTTTAGCTATTGATCTGAAATCTTCAGCGCAGGCCAATATTTTGTTTTGGTTGATCTGCTGTCTAAAAAAAATACAAAGCTTTATTTTAACATTTTAGTGTGAAGAGATAATTACACAAAACATGATAACACAGGTCTTTGAAAGGTTTGTGACAACAGAAGTTATGTGGGAGGATTTGTAGTCAATTAAATAACATAATTTAAGCAAAATAATCACAATTGATCTACCTATTGGCCCAAAAATAGTGGCAGAGCTTATCAGCCATAAATTGTTCTGGATTCTAAATCATCGGTATCGACATTGGCCAACCTTGTGATCGGTTGATCACTAGCTTATACTTCTATCAACAGACTATTCCCACTACTACCATTGACTCTTTTAATCATGCACAGAACACACTTAAAAAACTAAAACTTTTTTTTCTGTTATGTCTCACAGTTATGACAAAGGGCCTACATGCTATGACAGTGATGAAGCTGCAGCCTTCTCCATTGCCAGCCTCTCAAACCGCTCCTCGCCCCTGTCCTGGCGTCAGGGTCAGGCCAGCCCCCGTCTCCAGGCCGGTGATGCTCCCTCCACGGGAAACACGCAGTCAGACGTCCCATTGAGGATAAGCCACACAGCCAGGATCCAGCTCATCGAAGCCTTAGACGAACCAGGACCCCGCTCTGCTGAAGGGGGAGTATCTGAGTGACAGTGACATCGGGGGGAAGAGTGCAACCGAGGAAGAAGAGGATGATGACGATATTGACCTTGGAAATGGGTAAGTTTTGGTCAGAGCATGTTATTTAAAAAGTATTGTTAGGATATCCTTAAATTGAGTGGAAATCTGATATTTTGTATAATGGGCCTTATTTTTGTCTTCTACATCAGTGCTTGCTAAAGAGATAAGGAGATAAGAGATGGGAATGATTTCAGATTTAGAAGAAAGTATTCACATTTTAAATGTATTCATTCATTTTACCTAAGGGACTACACATATAATAATGCCATATGGTAGTATAAAAGAAAGTACTTCGATTTAATGTTGAAAACCCCATTCCATTGTGTAAATATAAAGTGTTTTTAATTATCACTGTGGTATCCAAATCTTAGTATCAGAATCGAGTTCAAAATGTTTGTATCTTGACACTAGGCGGTACTCATGACTGAAAATGAGTATGAGATTCCAATAACATGCAATAGAGTGACCCGCCCTATCAGCAGACCATACTTTAAAACACTAAAAGTCTTATTACTGTCATTAAGAGTTGCTGAAGTATTCACTTATCTAGGACTTGGCCTTATTATCAGCCTTTTAAAATGATTCCTGCCACCTGCCAACAGTTAACCCCAACACCACACTGAGCCTTGCACTTGGTGGGTTTTGCAACATAACAAAGCCTAAATCAGCCTGTGTATGATACAGCACATGTTCCCCTCTTGTCTGCCTTGACGTTGGCAGCTGTAGGCCCCCCTGCTTTAGCTGCCTCCTTCATAGTCAGAAATCAGCCCTTTGGCACAGTCTGGGGGTGATGTCAGAGTTTCGGGCCCCTCGCTGAGATGATCCTGTCATATTCAGCTGCCAGTTTTACAGCCTGATCCATGGGGGCCACCCTTGAATCAGCACTACCCCATGTCAAAGAGAGCAGATGTCAGATGAGGTTATGCGTCAAAACCTGCCAATATTATGCAAGATCAAGGCTATGTATTACCAGTGATTTCATTAGAAGTGGATTTTTCAGCAATATTAAATTTCTTGATGACAGGAGGACATTGTGAACCATTTTTACCCTTTAGAAAGACACTTGGCAGAAACTAGTCATCTGACAAGATATTGAACATTGTGCCAGTTTGTTCTTGTTGTTTCAGAGGTCACAGCCAAGTAACTGCAGAGATATTAAAGGACATAACATGAGCTTTTAATTGTGATAAAAACTGCATTAACTCATTCACTTCTCGGAGTTGGTTTATTCATGCATGTTTTAGTACCACTGTATATTCCTGTATCTGGGGCCTCTGTTTTCATGTAGCCCTTCAACCCGTCCACTTAGCTACCCTTGAAATACCCTTTAGATTTCGAAATTTAGGATGGCATTGAGGAGAAACTTTGCAGCTTTGTTGTGGTTTCTTTTGGAGTACTTGTTCTGAAATGAGGGGGTGTGCCCAGCTGCTCAAAATGACCAGATTTCACTGAATAGCTCTGAGCTTCGACAAAAACATGATCTCACTATAACTCTCACTCTGCTGGTGTTTGTTCAGGCAACAATCTAAAACAAATCCTTTCAGCTGGCAATAATAGTTTGACATCCCTATGACAACTACAAACAAGCAAGTCCCAGGATTGTAGTTGTAGCAGTCTCCCCTCCGGCTTGTCCCTATTAATTTATTTGACATTACTGTCCTGCCAAACATTACTTGCATTACCCAGACCAGCTAGATGTTGCACAATGGTTCCTTTCAAAATAACATCTTTTTTGGGGATGTGGGAAATCCTGCCCCTCCGCCACTAGAGGGCAGGCTCGTGATGTCCAACAGAGCCCCTGTCCCACACTGGCACTCAAGGGTTTCCCCACAGCTTCATGGCTCATTATAAATTCTACACATTCATGTATCATTCATACAGACTGGCTGGGGTCATCCAGGGGTCACACCATACTAAAATATTCCAACACACCATATATTAAACATAGGATTTCCCAGTATGATTTATGCATCTACAACCCAGACATGTTTTTGTCTTTGCCTAATTGAATACACAATAGATGACTAACCATTGAATCACATGTAAATATAGTGTAAGTATAATTATAAAAAAGAGACTTAAATTTGACTCACAGCAACACTCTTTGGTGACTCATTGATTTATACTATGCATGAGTCATTACTAGACCTATTCTTATGTGTTTCACTGAAGTAGTGCCATGACCCGACAAACACACTAACCTTTGGCATTGTACCCGCTCTGACTCAGGATCTTAAACCAGTGCTCCATTTCCTGCGCTTTAAGACAGGGGTAACTTTAGTGTTGACATCTGGACCTGAGCCCCCTCCCCATATCCCCCCTCTCTACACTCATGCACGCGTCATGGTCGACGGGAAGGAACTCAGTGGAAAACATGTGCTGGTCAAGGTGTGTAATATGACTGAGGAGGATTATCATAATATTGACAATCCACTGATCCATTTAAAAAAAAGTAAAGTATAGCTGATGTAGTTGATATACTCTAAGGTATTCCACATTTTAAAAATAGTGCTGTGCAAATATTTGAATTTCTATTGTTAATTGTTATTCTTGTGTTTGTTAACTGAGAGGTTTACAGCCAATCCTCTCTCAGTAGAAGTCTGTCTTATGAATTATAGGAAATTAATATTGATTTTATTTATTTATTTATTTTTTACGTATGATTGGTCAGTATGCAGGTATTGAACATAATGTAATGTAAACCAAAATTAAAAGAGGAAACCAGGAATAAGGAACTGAGTATAAGGTGAACCAGGTCTAAAGTCAGTTTCACTGGTTTAAATCTAGACTGCAGCAGGTTTAAACTGTAAACCATAACAGAACATAACCTTAGATGGCAGTCTTCAGATGTACATTATACTATCTCATGTAAGCCCTGCTTTCTTTGTTGCTGTACTGCCAACACTGGGCTTGTGCCACACGTGCCACAGTTTTCTGTCCCACTGAGCACAGACTCTTTGTTTGTGGATGGAGCGACTCCCATCGTCTACGACCTCCCATTAGCCAAGGCGTCGTTTCCATGGTGATGCGCCTAGACAAGCTGGCTCAGTTATCTGACCGGCTTGAATTATGAAAACATTTATTTAGATCTGAACAATGCACATCGAACAAATCCCTTTAAGCTTGTGACAGTGTTCTGGCTTAGGTGATAGGATTTCACTTTGAAAAGCAGAAATGAACTAAATACCAAATAAATTCTCTAAAACTGGGAACAAGAATTGAATGAGGAACACTTTGCTTTCATAAATAGGACATAGGACAAAATGTTCAAACAGCTGACCCTTGTTGACCTTTATGGGATGTTGTCTGAACGCACTGATGCTAAAAAGTGGCTAATTAGGTGTAACTTAATAGACCTTGTCATCAACTCCTTTGGGACATGGAAGTCAAAGGTAATTACTGAAGACTTCACTCATGTGGGTCATGTGTTTGGGTCAGCCACAGTGACATTTCTCCTATAGGTCAAGCACAGTGTTTGCGTGCACTAACCCCCTCTACTGGCTGTACACAGAATTTCACTATAACTGACTATAACTTGGATATAACCCATTTCCAATGCTGTCCAATCAGTGTGATAAATATATAATAACATTTTTGGTGATTTGCTATTGAATTAGGTTGTGAAATGCAGAAGAATGCCCTTATGTATTATTTAAGTGTACATACTATCAAAGACTTTATGATAACAGTCTGAAGCTAAATCTAAATGGCTGTTAGATTCTTTAAACTGGATGAATACCACATTTTTCAGTTGTCACTGTCCCACCTAATCCCACCAAATTGCAAAACTTGTCCCACTTGAATTACTTTCCTAGATTTTAAAGCCTGTGACTGTGAACACACAGCGTGACATGTCTGATTAACGAATACTATCTCCAACATCTGGATCTGATTTGAGCCAGAGGTGATGGATCCACTCATTCGCTGACTCACTCATTCAACTCTCACTTTCACGCACACATACAAACACACACGCTTACCTACTGAAGGGGCACACCCACCGGGGCTTCCCTCCTGTTTAGAGCCGTACGATATGACTCATTCCATGGTCCAGTTACAGACCTCCTCCCAAAAACTTTACTTTATCCCACAACCAAAAAGTGAACTGATTCCAACACATAATACGTAAGAAAACATTGAAAATAGACATTTTTACTAAAGAATGATAATTATAGATGATAAAGTTATACAATCTTCACTTGCTTAGCATATGCCATAGTGTACATTAAACTTTTACCTTTTACCTACCTTACTTTTATATTATTAAGCAGGCTCCTTCAATGTATTTTTTTCAGTATCGTTGCTTGCTGAATTGAGTATCCAATTTCAATGTCAGTTTTTAGTATGGATTAATATTTGGGTATAACTGTAACAATGTGCAAATCAATTGGAGGTAGATTCTTATCTGTCATATCACCAGGAGGAAAATACCATATGAGAACAAAGGCATACACATGATCAGACATTGAGCAAACATTTAAATAAGTTAGACTGTTTAAAAATGCAGTGAATCCAATTTGGCCCATAGTTAAGTAAAGGTTGTTGGGACAGACTTGAGTGGATGAGTTTGATGGGCCGTGCATTGCTCTTGTCGTGCCTGTACCTGCTTCTCTCTGAGTCTCAGTGCAGTGGTGCTCTGGCTCTGTCTGCTCACTGCTCCGTGTAATCAATTACTTCTCCTGTCAACATCATCAGGGGGAAACTTGACTTGAGTGGTGGAGTATGCTCTCTTTGTTTGGGACATGTACAGGCACATAGCACTCCACTACGAGTCCATAAAGAAACAAAGAAACAGCCCCTTACATTACTATACCATTGCGTAGTACTGCCTTTATTGTCGTTGTAAACTGTTTGTCAGTGCTGTGTGCCATAACCTCGTAATATAAAAGCATCCATTATCCAATAACTATGTTGAATATTGCTAGCCTGTATATTCACTATACAACTGCAGTATCATTTGCACTCCTGCTTTGTGTTGTTGTTTCTTACTTACATTCTGCTTTACTACTTTAAAGCTGTACTGTGTAACTTGTCAGAGG